CCCCTCCTTTTTTTAATATCTAATATTTTTACATGCTGCTAGTGAGAGAACCTGTTGTTAAAATCTTTGAATCCCACCACCGAATCTAGGTAATATTTAGCTCTATAAAAACTGCTTGAAATTAAGTTGAATAGTTTTGTGAGTTTGCATACAAACTATAGGCCATAGGAATTTGAAAAATGTCGATAGTTACATAATGTTGACAATATTATGTTAAGTCATATAGAACACCGTATATATATTACAATTTATTGAAGACTTAACGAATTGTTACGTGTTAATAAATAAAATTATGCCCTCCCAGTGGCACAGCGGCATGTCTGCGACCTACAACGCTAGAATCCGGGTTTCGATACTCGTGGTGGGCAGAGCACAGATAGCCCATTGTGTAGCTTTGTGCTTAAATACAAACAAACATATAAAATTACTTTTTTCGTATATTTAACATGTGCAAGATGATGCGATACGTACGCCACCTAGATAGCATAGAAGAAACAATTTATTCTCAATAAGGTATTTGCAGTCTTTTTCTAAGGCATTTATCACAGTTACATTGTAAAATGTATGCATGTTATCTACCACTACTGTATGACCAGAGGGAATCATTACGATAAAGTTACAGACAATTTTTTTTACCGAAAAGTTCAGTTTGTATAAAAGATAAATAAAAAGAACTACACAGCATATCAGGTGATCAGAAACAGAGAAAGGTTTGTTTGTTTGTAGTTAAGCACAAAGCTATACAATGGGCTATCTGTACTCTGCCCACCACGGGTATCGAAACCCGGTTTCTAACTGTCTAACTCCGCAGACATACCGTGCCAATGGGGGAGGAGGGCAGAGAGAAAAGATGCTAAGCCTTGTAGCAGGACATTCTCGTTCCGGTTAGGGTGTTGTTGAATTAACAACATATCGTCGATTTAAAAACCCGATACAAATAAGAACTGCCGATACAGGTAATAAATGTAGGAGACCCAATTACTTTTTATAAGTGGGGGGGGGGTCATCTTTTGTAGTTACGACACTGCACAACACCGACTTAATTATCGACTTAATTAACTGAGCAAACAATTTTTTTATAACTAAAACTAAATATTATCTCCACAGGTTTCGTCACCTTTAGGCCCAAGTTATAAGTTAAGAGATGAAAAATGCACATCGAACCATCTGTTGCCATTCGCATCCAACATACATTAAGTTAATTCGAAAGGTTAGTGTGCGATCATTTGTCGACAAGTTACTTGAATCGAAGATCTAACGAAGGAATTGATAAATGAAAGTGAATGAAGAATACGATGGGATATGTGTAAATGGCTAAATCACATTAAGTAATTCGTGAACATACTTTACTGGCCATATCGAATAGTAAAACTTCTCACTTCTTGTAACTTCCAATAACTCTTATCGAGTATCCGCTAAAATAGGCTGTGTAATTTCTTTGAGGCCGGTATATTTAGCAACACGTGAGCTATGTGAAGTCTTTGATACATGTATATTGGTGTGAACAGGGCAGGATAAACACTTGGGTTTTAAGGAGTGGATAATATATAAAACGAAGCGTATGATATTATGAATCAGGTTAGAGCACATATTTTACAATTATAGTTTATTAAAGTAACGACTGCCTGATTTTAGCCCCTCAGCATTAAGTGTTTAGACTTATAAGGTTAAAAATCGGGTTTCAATACCCGTGATGGGTACAGCACAGTTAGCCCATTGTATAGCTTTGCGCTTAACTACAAATAAACAAAATCCTAACTATAATTGATTTGTGATCGTGTCACGTCACGCAACTCGTTCTCTTTTTTTCTTTTTTACATTGTGGGAACATTCTTAATATTTTTTTTTATTTTCTCGTGTTATTGCGTTGTTCCCAGTATGTGTGGGGAGGGGAGGCTGCTTCGTTTGTCATGTTGCGTCATCGAGGTCACGTGACTGGTGTGGCGCCCTCTACTTTCTAGAACTATCCTGTACTTTGGCGAATGCTCTAGTATTTACTAGATAGAGGGTAGACTGGTATATAAAAGAGGGTGACAATGTGACGGAAAGGGGAATGTAATGTGTGTGCAGACAGTGAGTAATTGATCTGCAGTCAGAAGTATTATTGAGCACGTTCGTTGCTATAGCGTTTGTTTAGCGCGATTGTTGAAGTTGAGTGTATCGGTAAAGTTGTATTCGGAAAGAATAAACCAGTTTATTAAGTAAAGAACTTGTGTCGCTTAAGTTTCGTCGGAACGAAGTTACGGAAAATCAATTAACAAACGGAGACGTAACAGTCACACTATAATGTTTATATGTGGAGCATTATACTTTTATGCTTGGAAAGCCTGTAAATCGCATTGAATAAAGGCGTATTCAAAATGAACATATAATAACAATTTAATTGCTACGTGCACGCCAAAGGAACATGTTTTATATAATGTAGAAAGCTTCAATTGGAAATATGACCAGTGTTTAAAATTGGGCAAGGGGTGGTAAGTCATTAAAAAAAAACTGAATATGCATAAAGGGGCCCATGAAATATAGAATCCCCTAGCCCCCATTAATCCGGCCCTGGTGTAACTATTGTCATAGTTTTAAGAGATAAATGGCCCAGACTAGATAATGAGAACTCTGCAGTTAAGTAGCATCACAAATGAAACTTACGTCTGCCAATGTATATCCGATACAACTAATATATGGTGAAATTGCATCTTCAAGTTTAATAACATGCCTTTCAACCTTGACTAGTAACTTTAATAGTCAAAGTTAACTTGTAGATTATCTACCACATATAATATCAAACACAAATATCCTAATAAATCAATATTTGTTTTATATATGCATACGCTTACTAGTCTATGGATGTGTTACGTCAGCGAGGTCACGTGACTAGTATCACGCCACCTCTTTCTAGAAATATCCTGTTCCTTCAAGAATGCCCTAGCATTTACTAGATATGTGTTAGTATTGTATATATAAGACGTTCACAACGTGACGGGACAAGAAGGTAGTGAGTAATTGAACTGCAGTCAGAGAGTGTGTAATTGAATTGAGTATTGTTGAAGTCGAGCACGTGAGACGTTCGTTGAGAATTATAGCGCGACTGTTGAAATTAAGTGTATCGCAAAGTTATATTCAGAAAGAATAAACCAGTTTTATTTAAGAAAGGACTTGTGTCGCTAAAGTTTCGTCGGAAAGAATTTACGGAAAATTAACTAACGAACGGAGACGTAACAGATGAATACTTACACATGCATAACACACGTCGTGCCAATTACAGGCGTGACGTAACATCTGACGCAACGAACCGTGAGGTAAATAGTCGTCCAGAACCGAGCAGTTACTGGTTAATAGTTGCAAAGGGAGGCAACTGTCTTCTGAAAGAAGATTAGGAATAATATTACATTACAAAATCTCAGATCAAATGTATCCTTCTTCGTCTGTCAGAGCACAAAACAGTGTACAGCGAGTTACTATAAAAACTACTAAAAGCATCTGTATATATATAAAGACGAAATGTGTGTTTGTTTGCATCCCAACTCTTCCGAATTTATTGGGCTAATTTCAAACAAAATTCGTATGTATACAATACGAAATATGGGGAATATCTTAAGGTGATCAAAATTGAATTTAACGCTACTTCTATTTTGTAAAGCCTGTTGGTTAATTACTCCCAGCCTATTGAGTCAATCTCAAACAATCTTGGCAGGTTGACGCTATAGACAATGTTGAATATTCTAAAGAATTTCAAGGTCAAAGTATGAAAGTTGCTGTATTGTTAAAGGGTGGGGTCACCTCAAAATCTTTATTTGTTGGTAGATGTAAAGCAAACTGCAAATGTTGTTGATGAAGAAGCTTTGTTATAGTTTTAAAAATTTCAGATAAAGTTTGTGTTCAAGTTATTAATTTGAACTATATGATTGCTGTGAAACTTACATTGTTTTAATTAAGTTTAAACACTCCCCGTCAGTTGATGGGTATTTCAACTTGTATGTTATAAACCAAAAATGTGTCATTTATTTCCGCCTTCTATTCTTCACAGTATGATTAAGACATTTATTACAAACTTACAAGAACACATATTTTAAAAACACCTAGAACTGACTGAGGTAAGATGACTTTTACTCGACTAAAGACATCACTACTAATTCATTCATAAAACATAAAATAACAAACACAACTGACTACAAGAGTGCAAAAAACTAGTATTTAATTTTATACGTACTTCGAAAGTGAAGTTTTTGTTGTTTCGAAATTCTAACTGCAAAAATATACTCTCGCCGAAAAAAAAAAAGCCTAGAGAACTACAAGCTTCAAATTTTGTAAATAGAAATGCTTTCATACTAAAGACGTTACAACATCGCAAAAAGAGAAAGAGCTAAAAAACTGAGCAAAAGAAAAAGCACAATTCCTAGAAGGAGAACAATAACCAAAACAATCAGTAAAAACACTTTGCACATCTTTTCCACTGGCATGATTTTGGAGACAGATATATAACAATTACTTGCTAGCTTCAGCTTACCATTTCGCTGATTTGGTTCACCACTGCTATAATGATCAGAACTGGCCGCCATGTTGAACTTACTCCCGCGAGCTGGTTGTGCCTGAAAGGTTTTAGATGTTTCCTCGTGATCTTCCTCCTCTACATTGAAAATTGTTATGCACAGTTAATTGTAAAAATATTTACTTCTTGTGAAATTTAGTTGTGCGTTATCTTATATTTTATTTTCCACATATTTGTAGTAAACGCGAACATTTTTCTTTACAAATATTTATCACCCAACACTCGGACTCGCTTACATCCACTACCATGTAATACTTACCAATTCTCGTCATCGAATTTGAATTACCAATTCTGTTATAAGTGCCTAATTTTGCATATATATGTAAACTCCAGACTCCTGTGACCTTCTGATTTCATTAATTATAAAAGGTAACGCGTATATGTTTTGTTTTTAAGAGCTGATGACTTCACAGAAAAGTAAAATATTTGCAGACTTTTCTCGTTCTTTAAACTGTAACGTTAGGCTTGCACAGTAATTCTTTTCCTTCTAATTTTATACACGAAGTCGAATGATCTCATGAATGATCTCAAGCAATTCTATGATAAACTTTTAAAGTTGTTCTGATGTCAGTAGACCTGTTGAAGTCCTGTAGTACACTACACGTATTTAACTAATCCCCCCCTAATTACTGCTCACCTAATCCATTTATAACTTTAATTGCCAAAACACTCACGCACTTGTCTATTTTTTACTTGCGTGTGATTGCATCTAGTTATCTGTCCATCCACTCTACGCTAATTTATTCATTAAAAAAAGGTATTCATAGATCCCCGCCTATACATTTTCATGAACTACACATATCCCTCAAATTATTTTTACATCTCTGAAAGTTAAGCATTCAAATGTGCCTCAACTACACACCACAAAACAAACAAATAAATAAATAAAGGACTAGCATGTAATACAGTTCTGAACAATTACAACCGAATTCTTAAAACTAATACGCTTTAGGTTATGTTGAAAGAATGCACGACTGTCTCACCATATTTTGTTTATATTAGCCATCTTGAATAGACAATATCCTCATTTATTCTTCAGATTTGATAATTGCTGCAGTTTTAGTTATTAATTCCATATCATTTCGGTACAGTGTTATCTGCTGCCACGGTTTTGTTTACAGAAACGCAATCCGTCAGATCTGCTCAGCCATTGAAATCTAGATAAACACCTGTTTTGTTGCATCCAGATACCTAGTAGGAAGGTTTTGGACATGCTATCAGACAACTTATGCATACACTAGTTAGCCTGAAAAAAGATTGTGGGAAATGAAATACATCAGGTATTTACCGACATCCACAAGATGAACATTAGGACTTGCTAGTCCTAGACCTATAGACTTATATGGGCTTCAGAACAGTACCTGTATTTAAAATGAGTATTATGTGGCAACCCTTCGTGGTGAGGTAGCTGGCTGCCTCGAAGGTGGGTAGAAGAGAGTTCCTTTACTGATGTTACCAGTTCGCTTTATACTGCTCTATTGTTTCATCTTCTTTTGATTTTTTTTAGCTACACCATACGCATCTTTGTTTTCCAGCAATCCCATTCAATCTCTATGTCAGTGTGACCTTCTCTGGATTCTGTTTTCACCTTACTAGTACAGTAGAGGTTGATATCCTGCCAGTATATTTGTGTCGGACTTGTTTAGTTTTATTTCAGTATGGTCTGATACTTACACCCAGGCGATGGTATTACCTTGCATTTACTTTTCTTTCTTCTATCCATCTGGAAACCAACTGATCTGAATTTTACTCTGTCCAGCCTGCGAGTCACTTGCAAATATTGTATTGGTGGCACTGTCTATTTGTGGTTCACTGTTGTTTTCAGTTGATTATTTTTGAAACTAATAAATACTATTGTTTTGAACCTGAGAAACTGTTATAATGATATAAAAATATAGTATAATAAAAACAAAACATTTGATTTACGCATTCATTTAAAAGAGAACATCGTTTAGTCACAAAAAATAACAGGAACGTAAGTACAAAAAACATATTTAATTAAAGTTTCGGAATTACAGAGGTTCCATCTTCAGGAATCTATAGATGATAATCATAATATTAGCTTTAGAAAGTATTCAGTGAACAATTATACATACAAAGAACAATATAAATACAAGTCAAAGAAATCAGATTACGAATAAACGTTAGAACAGATTAAAATCTAGTGATGGATCGTTACTTTAAAGAGGAGGAAGAATATTTTAATACACAATGTCTCTTTAACCAAAAACTTAGATCGTGATTTAACAGTAGATGGATTTTTAAAAAATCTTCTTTGTATACTGTGTTCACAAATGGCAAAGCGAGAAGAACTGTTCATTTTGTTTTTGCCTGTTCTGATCGAAATTCCTGTGTTAATTTGCTCGTACTTTAAGCTGCACATTGTCTGACTTACAATCTCCACGTATATAATGCCGTGAACAATGAGAAATCCTTTCTTGGAAGTTTTAGTCAACCATGACTCTAATGGTTTCTCTATCGTAAAATGACATTTACTGGACTTTTTTACTTTGTGTGACAGCCTTTTAGTATTTTCTTTCAAAGGTAATCTTCCAATTTCCCCATTAAACAGAGCTTATCCTCTTACCTTACCATTCACAGAGAATTCTCATTCCTGCAAAATGTTCTACATCGTAACAGCTACCTTAAACACTTCCTTGAAAAAAGTCACTGTTCCTAACTAATGCTATTACCAACAAACCGTATAAAAACTTCCTCTCTGCATCTGCTTACCATTATCCCGGTGAACAGAACACCAATAACAAGAAACAACTAAAAAGACTGATTAACCTGTTCTACCTACAAGTTAATTTAAAGGTTATTTTTAAACGCAGATTTGAACTGAATAATCTTTTCAACTATAAGGATCACCTACCAAGTTCCCATTGTTCACTGCTCGTTTATTTCTATACATACAGAAATTGTAAAGCCACTTATATTTGTGAGGCAATGTACCAGTTTAGAACACGAGCACATAAGTAAAGCAATTAACAGTTCTCCTCATTTTGCCATCCGTGAACATATTATACAAACAGGAAATCCTGTCAACACGTTAAACTTCAAAATACTCTCTACCGTTAAATCCCAATCTAATTCCCTTCCTTCTCCTTTTATTTGTAATCTGATTTTTTTCTATTTATATTTCTATTGTTTTATATATATATATAATTATTCGCCAAATACTTCCGAACGTTAGTATTATGATTATCTCTCCTAGCTTATTGAAGAAGGAACCTCTGACATTTCGAAACGTACCTTATTCAGCTGATAAAATTTACAAGTCAGATTCATTTATGAACTTTATTTTAAAACAATAATTAACAAATTGGCAAACTACTCGATTGTTTATTCGCCTCATTGATATCTACTTACCCTCACTCTCTTTCTTTTCTAAAAAATGAGACAACCCAAGTGATGTATTTTCACCTTCCTGATCATCCTGTTGAATATTATCTAATGTCGTATGCAGATGAATTAGTGCTTTTCTCAAGTTATCCAATTCCATAGCAGCTTTCAATCTGTGTGAAATTTTTTCAGGATCCAAAAGGTCGCTCTCTGTGGCTCCTTCTTTGATCATCTCCATTGCATCAGTTAACATATTGTTTTCGATTTTCTTTAGCTTGTTTTCGACTTGTTGAAATTGGCCTTCTTGAAAAGTGAAACTCTTTCGCTTTTCAGCTCCATTAATTACAAATGTATCTTCTCCTGTCGTTTTTTTGCTATCTTCTGCGTCCTCAATCCTGCTTATATTTTTAATCGTTTGCTCATTTTCTGTGTTTGTCTTATCCCGTTCCTCCGTAGTATGCCAAAGAAGATCTTCAACATCTTTGGATATCATTGAGTCCCAGTCATTACTTCTCTTCTTCCTTAAAGTGTTCAGAACCTTGGCCATGTTTTTGATATATTCCTTTCTAAACCATTTCTCAAAATATTCTTTGGAGTTTGGGGGTTTTCGAGTCGATATTTCTGTACTTATTTCACCAGAGTCCTTTTTTAATCCATTTCTATTTGTAGTTTCTGAATCATCTGTTTCATTTTTCTCATTTATTGACTGAGATAACGCCTCTTGTGAGGATTCAGCACGTCTTTTTCTAATATTTCGTGTATTACTTTCATCTTTAAAAATCTCTTTAAGTTCATTTTTGATTGCTGATTTACGGTCGTCATTAAACTTGTAATCTCTTTTCTTCAAAATGAGACGTTTTGTTTTAGTAAAGAACGGTGAAGACTTATCAGTACCGAAAGTAATGATACCACTTTCATCGTCTTCATTGCCATCATCAAAATCTCCAAAACGATATTTTAGTGATTCTTTTTCATGATTACGTGGTTCGATCTCCGAAGAAAGATAGTTGAAAATATCTTTATTGTCTTTTCTGTTATTGCCTATTACTAACTTGTCACCACTAAAAGGGCTATGCAAGCGGTTCCCCTTGGTTGTTACTTGAAAAATATTATGTAAATCTTCTGGATCTACCATAGACATCTGCCTCCTTAGTTTCTTCTTTAAACTTGGAAATTGTGTATCTTCTTGGATTAATTGCTGTACTTTGTCTGATGTTGAAAACGGAAAAAGTAATCGAATTCAGGTTCTTCGCTGCTAAAATAATCTGGAAAAAAAAAGATGGGTGTCTTATACAATAGGTGAGATAATTAGAATGCTTATAATAACTATCAAAGATTGTCATAAAAGTTTCTAATTTCAACATATAGGTACACAACGGGTTATCTGCGCTATGTCCGTCGCAGGGATAGAATCCCTAATTATAACATTATAAACCTTCAATCTTATCGCTGAGTCACCAGATAACTCCAATAAAGCTAAAAATCGGGTTTAGATACCCGTGGTGGGCACAGCACAGATAGCCCATTGAGTAACTTTGTGCTTGACTACAAAAAAAACTACTATAAAATAAGAAAAAGCTGTTAAAAAAAGGAACCTGCATCATAGTTTCTTATACGAAAAACAGAAATTTGTTTGACTAATGTAAAAAAATCACCAAAAAGCTAAAAGCTGCTAATATAAATAATTAAAAACCTTCATATTCGATTTTTCTGACAATATCAGACTAAATACTATATCAGTGTTGGATCCTTCTAAACGTGCTAACTTTAGGTCAGTTCTGCAAAAGATAAACTACTGATTCAATTGCTTTCATGCTTGGCATGGCCTGGTGATTAGGACACGCAATTTTTATCAGAGTTTGCGAGTTAGAATCCCGTTACAGAGATGCTCGTCCTTTCAGCGTTCTCACTTTTCGTTAGTAAAGAGTAGCCCAAGAGTTGCCGTCTTCTAAATCAAGGGCGGCTGGTGCAACTAGCTCTCGAGTAGCTTTGCACAAAATGGAACAAAACAAACAAACTATTTTCATATAAGATATTAGAAACTCACATTTGTGTATGGAATTGGAAGGCACATTTAAGATGTGATAAATGAGGAGAATGATTTTATGAATAACTAATTAGCACATAGGAATAAAATCTTTACTCTTAACTCTGAAAAAAATCAGTGAAAGGGCTTATTAGTCATAGTACTGAGTTTACAGTCCGGGCGTGACCATTTGGTCACCGTTTCCGGACTGTGAATCTGAGGATTCTTAGTTAGTGTCCCCTTGCCCACATTTTGAGGTTGTGGGTGCACTCCTGTGTGGTGATCAAATCCCACCTTTCAGTCAGTAAGAGTAGCCCAACAGTTGACGATGAGTGTTGTTGACTTGATATCACCTTCTAGACTAGTTCAAAACTAGGAATGAGCAGATAACCTGAATAGATTTGCGCGAAAATTCTGAAACAAATAAACTGCGTTATCTATTAATATCGCACCTATTTGTTCATCATACAAGATAGTTTCATAAAGTAAAGATAATTCATAAATCAAACAAGTGACAGGTATCAGAGCCTTGTTACCTTCATCCTAGTAATGTTGCAAAAGCTGAGTACACACGTCCACATGCTTTTGTTTTTTATTGCCAATCAAATGGTCCCCCGGTGGGACAACAGTACGTCTACGGACTTACAACGCTAAAATCAGGAGTTCGATTCCCCTCGGTGGAAACACCAGATAGCCCAATGTGGCCTTTGCTGTAAAAACAACACACATATACCTATCAAATGCTTTAGGACTCAAGTTCAGGTATTCATGGATAAAGGCATGGAAACTGTCTGCATTTATTACAAATTTATTAACAAATTCAGCAGTACTCAATCGTTTGTTATCACGGATAGCCGTGTCCATTTTGGCAATGATTTTATCAGTGGTGTAACTGTTGGGGTATCTTGGGCGATCTTCTTCGCCTACTGATGTTCAACCATTATTAAACCTCTCCGCCCACTCGTACACTTTTTTGCGCTATATATACAATTCTATCCACATTGCGCCAATATTCTCCGGTGATAAAACACACACACACACACATAAAACAAAAAAATAATTACAGACCGCTGCTTTTCTTTGGTGCACACTGATAACTGGGTAACACTTTCATATTTACATACATCAGTAATGCTTGGCGAAATATCATTTACCGTTTTGTTTTACGTAGAAAGCATTGATGTCAATATTTCCTTCATATTCCGACACACCCTCATATAAATAAGTCGCACGAACCATGGGTTTATATAACATTACTCCAACAGTTAGAGTATCATTCTAATTTATACTTTCACTGATACGTTAACTTTGGCATACTTAACACCTTATATTCATGTAACTATTTTAAAACTGAATCTACTGTTAGTGTCCCTGCAGCAGTCCAAGCATACAGGAGTTTTTATGTTCAAACAGTGTGTAATATTCCTCTAAGAAAAACTCCAAAGTTCAAAATATCACAAGTTCTTTTTAACCTAAATTTCAGTTTTTTTTAAAGATATCTGTTTCCCAGACATATATAGAATACTCACCGTCTTCACTATACTTGTTCCATACGGAACTTTTGGGCATCTGTCGGCTGGAGTCGCTTACATCTCTCCATTTATTGTACGTGTCGCTGAATGATGGCAGAGAACTGTAGATCTGTTTTTTCCACAAAGAAGGCTTGATGGGTATCGACGAAACTCCGGGTGTATAAGCTGCACGTGTAGAATCAATGTCGATGTCGTAATCATTTCCACTTAGTAGAGACAGAGCTTCTTTATCTTCATCATTATAGTATTGGCGTTTTCTCAGCTGACCGTACGGATTCATCGATTCGTTCTGGTCTTGTATAGCTGCTCCTTTCTGAGCCACTTGACGGTCGATTTCTTTGAGAGTGTGGAGCAGCTTGTTCGAGATTCCAGCACCAAAAATACCGTCAGAAGAAGTTAAAACCTCGGAAGGAACAAAGGGCTGATCCTTCTTCAGGTTATGGAAAACTGAGTGCCCTTGTGGTGTGTCTGTATCGGGCACCAATTTATGTACTTTGTTAAATAGATAGGGAACCGCATGTAAGTCAAACTCTCCAGCTTCCAGCAGGTTGCTTCTTAGTCCGCGGTTGTTCCACTTTTTAAGTGGCCTTCGGTAAGCGTGGATCTCATCTAAAGAGAGCCCCTTAACTAAACATAAGCACATCAAAAGGAAAAGTCCTTTCATTATGATAATACGATGGAACATCTGTAAAATAAAAAAATATAAAATTAGAATATAAATGTAATCAGTTGATGGGCATATGCTTTTATATTATTAATTTCAGAACCAAACATTTTGATTGAAAATCTTGGCTAACAAGTGTCAGTGTTTATCCTGAACTACGATAATGATTCATTATAAGGACCGCCCAGGAATTTCACAAACATTCTAATAGAACATACAGGCAAAAGCCATCCTAAAAAGCAGACTTGTTCTTGAAAAAATCAATACCTTCTATCTCAATGGCTAGGCTGCTAAAATATTAATAATAGCAAAAAAAAAGTTCGTTTTCTGATTGTTAGACAAAATTCATCCATTTGTTCTTCATATTATTCTTGTTTCACAAGGCTACAGAAAATACGGCTATGAAATTTTATTCAAACTAGGGCAAAACTGTGTAGGTCAAAGACTATCTTATGTTGATTCATGAAAGACAAGGAGTGATTTTATCAGTTTTTTCATCGCTTCTGGCCAAGTTTATCTTTGACTAGGTATACTGCACCAAAATGTATGCACAGCTACTAAACAAACTCCTGCGAAAATTGTAGGACTATTTTTAAGTTCATTTTTAAACTCGAGATTTCTACTCTCTAAAATTTTCGAAGTTTTTTCTTCGAAGCTATTCGAGCATCGCAGAAATGTAGAAGTCACTTAAGTTCTGTTATACTGGTTGGAAATTTATCAACTTTGGTTTGTTTGTTTGTTGTTGTTTTTTTTAATTTCGCACAAAACTACACGAGGGCTATCTGAACTTATTTATATAGGTGAAATTTCAAATGCACAAATATTTTTGCAGGTACAAATCCCCCTTATTGTATTACAGAGTGTCACTGTGTTAGTATAAAGACTAAACGTAAGGG